CGGCCTCAGTCAGCTTCCTCTGGGATTCCTCCGCCGGCCATTTTTTCTTCGGTGGGGGAGGCGGCCTTTTCGTCGCATCACCACCAACAGCTACCTTCGCTGCAGCCTCCTTGGCGGCCAACTCCGCCTTGGCCCTCGCAGCGGCCTTGTTCATCACGGATCGTCGATCCATTACGAAGTCTGCACAACAAAGAAACAAGTCAGCAAAATAAAAAGACAGTAAAAAGAGGACGCCGTAGGGGGTATTACCATCAGCTTCGGCAAGAACGCCCAGATCGGGGCCGTCGGCCTCCTCGAAGGTCGTGGTCATCTTCGGCCACAGTTGGAGGTCATCTTCCTTATCACCATACACGAAGTATCTAAAGAAGCCGATAGCGGTCATCTTGTACTCCGTGATGTAATCCTTCACACTCCTCGACCCTCCCTCCAAGAACGCCGCCACCTCAGCATCCAGGATTGAACTCTTGGGCATGTCATGAAGAGTAAACTTTCCATCATGGCCGACGGAGGGGAACTCAGTGCCACCCTCGCCCAGGGACACGAAGACAAACTTGCTCTTCCAACTGTGTATGGATGAAGGCAAGTCCGTGAAAGTCCTCTTCTTCGGCAGCTGCTGCAGAGTGGCGTAGCAGACGCAATTCTTGTGGCTCCCTCGGCCAATCTGGTAGAGGTTTATGAAGAGGGCCGTTGTCGGCCTGTAACCCAACTCCGCACAACGGAGAAGGAACCCCACCATCAGCGAGTAGCTGTTAGGGGTCAGCAAGGCCGGAGGGAGCCCCACCATGTCCAAATACTCCTGGATGAAGGGATGCAGGGGAAACCTCAGCCCCTTGGCGAAGCTCATCAGATACACTCCAAAGTATCCCGGTGGCGGATTAAGCACGTGGTCCATCAGCCTAGGCGCCCTAACCCTCCCAAACGGCCCACATACATCTGTGCGACCAAATAGTCAGCGGCACTGCTCTCCGGCTTGATGAGGAAAATGTTGGTAAGGTCCAGGTAAGAGAAACATGGCCCCTTCTTCGGACGCCTGTTCCTCTTCGGCCGCGGTAGCCCCTTGACAGCAGACACCGGGTTCGGGCACAGGATGGTAGTAGAGGTGGACGTCCCATCCACTACGCGGGTAACCCCTGCGTCCTCACCATCGGATGACGAAGCGGACCCTTCGTCCTCGTCCTCCTCGTCCACATTATCTCCGGATTTATACGGGCTCAGGTGTTCGATCTCTTCGGCGCACTCCTCGATCACATCGTAGTCAAGAGACTTGGCGGAAGGCTCGTCGTCGTACGGGTAATACTCCTCGTTTAAGGATTTCATCTTAACAACTCCTAAGGCACTAAGGGGAGCTACTTTAGATCTAAAGTGTTTTTGTGACTAACACTGGATCAAGGCCTAGAAAAGCAAAATATGTAAGAAGTAGAACAACGGATTGAAGAACTAACCTTGAAGTTTTGAAGAAGGTGAAGAACACTCAGCAAAGGCTTTCTCCCTCTAAAAAATTTTTGGGCAGCACTTCGTTACTCAGAATGCAAATGAGGCCTGTCCTCGGAACGGGGAGGGTATTTATAGCCCCCCTCCTAACGGTAACTACATGTGGCATCACCTTAGTGGCCACAACAACGGCCACCAATGGGATGCCACCATTCTGTCCACAGGCCAAACCCCCTCCACAGATCAGCGGCCCACCAATGAAGCAGGCCCTACGGATCAAGGAGGGAAAAATAGCACCCACGACGGCCAACACAGCCAACGGCCATCCACGTTGCAACCGTATCGTCCATCTAAGCGGCCACGCATATTATGCAAAGGAAGGCTTTACAACGGCCACAATACCCCAAAGGAAAGGAACCCAACGGCCATGAGGCCCTCGCACTAAACCCTTGATCATAACCCTTTGAAAGCGACCTGCGTCCAAGGGTTCTCCCACAGGGTTACCTTGGTCAGGAAATCGCTAAAGGGTTGGATCCAAGGGCAGTATGAGGATCCCATTTCGGCCTAAGCTTCAAGCTACTCCTTCACCCCTCACTCACTCTTCGGCCTGAAGCAGTGGGGGGACTGGGGGACTACGCCGGCCTTAAAGAATAGCGGGCAAAATGAGAAAATAAAAATATACCAAGTCCGCAACTACAAACATCAGACATGCACCACAACGTCAATAACATCGTGGTGCACCATCGGCCGCAACAAAGTTTGAACTTACAGGACACTTATCGACTTTGAGACCACAAACCACTCTCGGCCAGGAATCAAAGAACAGGAGGTTGACATACCTGAATCACCGTCGTCCATGTACCACAACGGCCAAAAGGAATGCACAACACCCTCACCGGCCACCCAAGACAATAGACGCCCGTCGTCCTCAAAACAATGCGCAACCCCAACGGCCTCATCAGCCCAAAAGGGAAGTTCAACCATCAACGACCAAGGATAGACACTACCTTCATCGGCCATTCATGCCTGAACACTCATCGTCCGCAAACAAGCGCACCAAAGGAGTAACAGCCTTCCCCGTCCACATCAAGGAACATGTGACGGCCAAACTCAGAACAGGGCCACCAAGCGCCATGACAGGGAACAGCCAACGTGGTCCCGCATCAGCCAAGAGCATCAAGCACAGAAATCTACTCTCCTTCACTTCGTCTACATCTCAGCTTAGAGAGTGGGGGACTCCTGATGGAGTATATGGGTCTAGGCCCCAGGACCCACATACTCAGAAGAACAGAAAGCACAAGTCACTACGCGGTGCCCTCGTCGGCCAAAGGACCCTCGTCGGCCGAAGAGGGACCGCCTCAAAATATGACCCTGAAGCCAGGGAACCAGTGTGTCCTCATCGGCCGTGCCCTCGTCGGCCATACCCTCGTCGGCCACGGAGGACTCGCAGAACTAGAATTTACACTTATTCATTTGTACAGCCCATCAGTTACTTTGTATTCGGCCCAATAGCGGTCCAGTTGTAAATGGGCCTCCCAAGCCCAAGGCTTGGGAGCCCAGCCCGTATTTTTCTTATAAATACTTCCTCTGGAGGTAGTTATAGGGGTTACAAAATCAATCTATTGAAGCATTTACTTGCACTTCTCTCTCTAGCTCTCACTTCTCTCTAGATATATACTCTATCATTTATATTTACTAATTTATCTGTATACATAGTTATAGTTTATTATGATTAAATTCGTGTTTTTAGTACTTAACAACTAGCCCAATCTATATATTATATAAATTTTTGTACTTAAAGATAATACTATGTGCTTGAATTTGAAGTTTTAGCATAGTTTCTCATGATTATTGGTGTGTAAGTGTTTTTTGTGTTTATGGTGAAAGGTCTATAAACATTATAAGCGTATTAACAATTTTTTGGATGTTTAAATACTTCTTATTATTTTAAAAGTATTAAAAAATTATTTAATTCTGAAGAATTTAGAGTTTTCTCGGACCGTGTTGCCCGGTGGACTACGCGGTCCGCTCTTACAGGCGGTTATACACATGTGGGCAGGCTGGTTTTTACGAACAGGGCCTAGCTTGCCCACACATAATGGACAGAAAATTTATCAAAAACCCGATCTGAATCCGTTTTGGTGTAGATCGTCATTTTGTCCCATGTGATTTTATCAAATTCGTTTTATTGTCCCGAAAACTTTATCACTTTGCCATACAAAACACCCCATAATTAATTTGTGATTTTGTTCATTTGTATTTATTCTATATAAATCTCATCACACTTTTTATTTTTCTTATTTCTCACTTGAAAGTTTCCGCAAAAGGCAATACGGAGTAGAATTAAAAAAATGCACGGGTAGCTCAGTTTGTCAAGTGGTGGGAAAATTGGACCAAGTGACTAGGCATGGCAATGGGTCGGGGCGGAGCGGGTATTGCAAGACCCGGACCCGCCCCGTGACTTGGCGGGGCGGGTCCGCCCCGCCCCGTGACCTGCATGGGTCCAAATTTGTTGACCCATGACCCGCCCCACCTTAACCTAATTAGCTAGTATGTATTTTTTGTGGGAAGTTGTTACCAATTGAATCTACATAATGTTTATCTCTAAATAATAATTAAAAATCAATATATTAAATCAAATTCATGATACGCTAAAAATTTCAAAAATTAAGGAAAATTTACTCAAACTTGAATAGTTAATCTTATTAGTTATATTAATAATTGAATATATGTATTAAAATTCTATATATAAAGAAGACAATGATAATCCGTCGTGCATCTCATTATAATATATACTCCGTATTCATATATTATAAGATCAAAGAATTTATGATTTATTGTATATACACATATGTATGTTGAAGTATATTTGTAGTACTATAATTTAAGAAAAAGTATGTATACTTATATATTCAGCGGGTCGGGTCGAGGCGGGTCAGGGTGGCACGGGTCAATTCTAATACCCGGACCCGCCCCATTGTATAGGCGGGGCGGGGCGGGGCGGACCCGCCCCATTTGCAAGACAAGGCAGGGCGGACCCGCCCCAAATGTCTCGGGCCAGTGCGGGTCATTGCGGGTCGGGTTTTTTTGAAATCCCTACAAGTGACCAAGGTTCGAAACACGCAACGGCCGTGTGGAGGTTACGGAACCTAAAATAAGGCCGAACATCTAATGCGCATGTGTATAAGGCCTATCACCGCTTTACTGATTGAATAACCGTGATTAACCTCCCCACTATCCCGTCGGGTCGGGATGAGGCTCCTGAAGTGGAAGATTCCACCTTTTGGACCGATAAAAAAAAGTAGTTACACCTGGTAAATAGGTAAACAATAAAATCACTTCTCCCAAACGGCATCTAAAACCTTCCTTTTCCAATTGGTCCTTTTCCAATTGGTCCTCAATAGTCATCCCACATGGGCACCTAATCCTATTGTCTCATTTTTGTCCCCTGAAAGTGCGATGACAGAGCATTTCCTTTAAAGCTGCTCCTACTCCTGCCGACACACTGACTTGACTTTATCCCAAATTCATGCATTTCTACCCCCAAATAATTAAAGCTGCAATGCTATAAATTTTTTAATAAACAAACAAAAATAATTGAGCTACGTCTTTCTTTCCTCCTCCCCATATTTATTAGTCAGTACTCCTATTATTTAATTCCAACTTGCTCTGCTCAAAATTCTGCAATCAATCAAACGCAACCTACCATCCACCTATTGCCAGAAGAAGAAAAAAACTCCCAAGCTCATCAGAAATTTCAAGGGTTTTTTGTTTGTTTCAAGAATCAGAAGATGGCGTGTGATCTGAATCTCAAGGCAACCGAGCTGCGGCTCGGGCTGCCCGGCACAGAAGAAGAGTGTGTGACAGAAATGGGGTCAAGCCTCAAGAACAAGAACAAAAGATCCCTTCTTGTTGAATCTGGAGATGAAGAAGACTGCGAATCCAAGGCCAACAATGAAGGTGCCAAGAACTCCCCTGCTTCAAAGTAAGCCACTTTCAGATTCTTGATTTTATGGTGAACAAACTTCTTCTTCTTTGGGTAGTTATATTTTACACAAATGTCATTTTGTCTTATTAATTCTCTTGCTTGGATAGATGAGGTAGTTATGAACATTAAGATAGGTTAATTAGGGGTATATGCGGAAATTAAACACTAATTATTATAGGCTCGACATATTACATAGAAAATAGACCATCTTTGCCGACTTTGCCAGCGGTTTTGATACTTAAGCAAAGGAATTTAATTAGTATGTTAGTTAATATCTTGGTCGTATCTCCTCTAAACAAAGTAGTCACATTCCCACACAGTTTCAACTTATTTAAAAACCGTCCAAACCCAAAAAATAAACATCTTTTGAGTGCGTAGGGTTTTAAAGAAAGTTGGAAATGTGTGGGATTGATGCTACTTTGGTAAGACGAGAATATGACAGAAATTATTGCAACTACAGAAAGAATTCAATTTTCATAATTTTGGGATGGATGAAAAGTAAAAGAACAATTTGAGTTGATATATCAGATTCTTGATTTTCTGGGGAAATTATGTGAGTGTTCAGTTTGTCACATTAAAAAATCGTATTTGACTTCACATAGGCAGTGAATTTCTACAGTCGTTTTGTCAAGATTTTAGGGCTGAAACTCAGAGGTCAACTGATATATTTATTGTTAAGTTTATTGAAATTAAAATGATGTCAAAGAGTGATCTTTTAGACCTGTTGATATGAGAGTACATCTTAAAGTATTGAAGATTAGGAAGTCTCATTTATATTTCAGTTTATATGTGGCTGATCTTATTCTTGTACATTGGTCAAATATAGAATATAGAATTACAAACGAGCATATAAGATATTGGACTAATCGTTATACCTGAACTTTAGGATAGAACCCAAAATCTAAATAGTTCGATATGTTAGGTTTATTCTAAAGTAAACGGTTTTCTATACAAATTAAATTAAGCTAAATATGAAATATTAAACCCCTTAATACATGCTAAAGGAGGAACTTATGGTAAAAAAAATATACACGCTAAAGGATGAAACTTAATCCAAAGATTAATAATGTGGTGGAATTGATTTGCAGGGCACACATAGTGGGATGGCCACCAGTGAGATCCTACAGGAAGAACAATCTGCAAGTGAAAAAGGCAGATTCATCAGAGAGTGGAATGTTTGTGAAGGTTAGCATGGATGGAGCACCTTACCTTAGAAAGATTGATCTCCATGTGTACAGTGGGTACTCAGATCTTCTGAAAGCATTGGAGACCATGTTTAAGCTCTCAATAGGTCACTACTCTGAGAGGGAAGGCTACAAAGGCTCTGAATATGCCCCTGCTTATGAGGATAAAGATGGTGACTTGATGCTTGTTGGTGATGTTCCTTGGGAGTAAGTTTTCTCCTCCCCATCTTATATCTCTCCTTTTTGCTATACTGAACCTAACACTTCTCATTGTATAGAGACAAACGAATATATAATCTTAATATGTTATAATCTCCATATAGTATAACTAATAATGTGGGTATGATTTGGCAGAATGTTCCTGTCATCATGCAAGAGGTTGAGAATAATGAAAGGATCAGAGACAAGAGGTTTGGGTGTTGGAAACTGAAGATCCAGAAGCCAAAAATTGATAGGAAATGAGTGGAATTTGAAGATCTCTTCTGTCTCAGGCAGGGAATTTATCCAGATAAAGGTTCCTTCTTTGCAAGATCGGGTTCTCGGATTTTCAAGAATCTCAGCTTAGTTGCTGTGAAATGTTTTCTTTTTGCTTTTTGTATCGTGAAAAAACAGTTTCATGGATTGGTCTTCTTCCACTCAAGAATGGAACCAGAAGAAACCAGTTATTATGACATTATTATTGTTGTTGTTGTATTTGGGTAATTTCAATTTTTTGGTCGTGTAAATGTATGTTATCATCAGGATAAAAACCTGCTTGGCTTTCAAAAGATGCTGTGATGTTTTGTTTCTGTTTTTGGGATAACACCATTGAACAAACGAAATAATCAGACAAGGTTGGTGGTAATTGTGTGAACAAACATAATTGGGTATTCATTTGAGTATAATCTGAGTATTCATTTTAGTGACCCAGCCTATGGGTCGACTCGGTCGGGTTCTGATTCTGGGTAAGATGAAGGGGGATTCAAAACCGTAATTGGGTAACCCCATTTGGTTCTAGTTCTTGGATCGATTCTAATTTCAATTTAGAGTGGGTTAGTGAAGAGGACAATCAACTTATCATCATACATCGTTCTATTAGTCATTGTATCATCTCTTATTGACATGTGTATTTATGTAGGATGTAACCAACTTTCTATCTTCAAATCTTAGAGTTAGAGTGGACCTCCTCTTTATTTTCTATGTAAAAGCATATAACTTTTGTAAAGATATAGAGAATATATACACAATTTACATGTTGATGAACTCTCTTAATTCTTAACATGACAGTAGAGCTAGTAGACAAGTGCCTCTATCGGTCGTGTCCTTTATCTAAGAACAAAGAGGACATTCATGTGTGTAATGGCTCCATTCATGATCGAGTGTCTAAAGGACATGCAATATAATACACTACATTTAATCTCATTCTCGTCAAGTGTATATTTTCTCACACATACTTTCTTTGATGCTTATATTGCTAAGTGATGATTATTAGTCTATTGTGTCCTCTCTTCGTGTCTAGAATACTCCAACATGTGTATCGGGATTATGCGTAATAGTCTCGAATAATGAGTGTTTAGCCCCTGGACTTGGAGGTTGCCATGCCCTCTCCTCTTGCCACGACCAATGCAACACGGGCATCAAGAATTGCTTCTCTAGTGCCGCTAGGGACATTGGTCATGCCAATAATCGTGATTTGTTGTTTTTGTTCTTTCACTGCAATTGTCGTGGTAGTTCATCACCATATGAAGGGATTCATGATCTGTTTTCGCATGCCAAATCAACAACATTCTCACATACATGCTTCAATATAGTGTGAAGTTGACTAGATCTCTTTGCCAAAATTATTTTGGTCCACCTTCTCAACCATCAGTGGTCAATACTACAATAACATCACTTGCAAGCAATGTGACCTCTCGGCCCTTAGCATCGTGTAATCTCTAATCTCTTCCATGCATTACTTGTCCACATTAAAGGCTCTATCATGTTTTGTATGAGTAACAGTAAATCTCTTCCCATCTATCATACAACTATCCTTGCAATTCCCAATCGACATTTCCTTAACTTAGTTTATATTCATAAGTTATGTACTAATTCTATGTCGAATGAATTTCCTCACTTTTACTTATCAAGTATTGACTCCGACTTACTATGACTCCTCTAATTTGAGGTGAGAATGTGAACAGGGTCTATTGTAGTTCACCATTGTGTCCACAATAACTTAATTCACTTAATATTTCCTCTGTCTCCATGCTCCATCATTGAATGGGACATCCATCTACTGACTAATTAGCCATTATTCAAAATAAATGCTATAAAATGGACACACAAGTCATTAATGTTTGTATTGCACTTCTTCTAACACTAAAAAGAGTTTCTACTTCCATTTTTCTCATTTTTATCATCTTTCACCCACGTGAGCAAACATATTATGACATACATTGTACTAAATAAGTACTAAGTATGTGTGTCATGTGTGCATGTTTTTTATACTATGTGATTTTTTGTTGAGCCCATTTAATGACTAAACAGTATGATTCCAAATAACATGTATATTGAAGAAATAAATTAATCTTGTACCATTTGAGATTGAATCGTATCTGATTCGATATGAAACAAGATCACCCGGTTTGAGAATACGTATGTTACGCGATTCACTACCATTACGATCTGATCATGTATTAAAACTTCATCTGTTATAAAACTTCATCGGTTTGAAACAAGTGTTTTTACCCTAACCTCGATTTTAATTCATGGTATCTCCTGAAAAAAAACTTTTTGGTCTGTTTCAGCAATCATTAGTTCATCTGTTATAATGAATGCATGCTAAAAAATGAACATGGATGTTCCCTTTTTAATTACAACCAAAAAAGGAACCCGTGTCATATTATAGGTTACTAAACTGCTTTGAGATTTTCTAACCTTAACGTTTGTTTAGATTAAACAAAAAATGGGAACGGAGGAATGTTTGTTTGATTTGGGTGGAGGTGTGGATGCGGGAGGATTGATAAAGAGGTGTGGAGTTTGTTCATCGCTCCGTGACCAGAACCTCATGTGTACGATTGAAGTGTGTCCTTGTGATATATGGTATAGTCATACATGTGATGCTGAATATAAGCTAGGTTTTCTCCCACAAGGACCCATTCAGACACTGCTTTCACCGGGAGATCTGTCTCTGTTGTATGGATCTCATGATCTAACATGGTTCTACTGTTATGTTGGGGAGGGTTCGGGGGTGACCACGCCTGGGGTGCGGGAGGAGGTGGTCTTAAGGCGGTCTACACGTACTATATATCTGAACAAACGTTATTTTGGAGGGGAGTATGTTGTTGACTGTGATTTCAGTTGGTTGACTGCATCCTGATCATCTACTTTGTAAGGAAGTTAGGATGTGTTTAGGCACCTAAAGTGTGCAGGTCTACTAATGTCCCCTTTGGTTGGGTTCTACACCTGTTTATTTTGCCCATTGATGTTAAATATTATAAACATATGAAAATGTTGTTTGTGTAGTTCTTTGCAATCGATTATTCAGTTTGATACAGATGTATAATGATTATGATGCTATTCTTAGGTATGTGATGCGGCGTTCGGATCCGTAGTTATGGTTAAGATAACTAAATCGTGTGTGGTGGGATCCAAGAGATCCAACCCAGGTAAAGTGCTTCAAAAATATATGCATTTTACCGTTCACCTTATTCGTTTTAGGCATGGTTCGCAAATGCTGTTGTTTTTCTTTTTTATTAGAATAGAGGTTTGGATACAGATCGTTGATTTTTTTATGGTTTTGAGGGAAAAAATAATTTAGTGTTTTTGTTAGTTAGCAAGTTTTGAATGCAGTAATAAATATCTAAAGGTCAGTGTTGTATAACAGTCTTACCTTTGGGTTTCCCCTCAAATACTTCGTTTCTGTGATCCACATGATCCACATTTGGTTCAGCCATCTGCAATCAGGGACATATGTCTAGCACAGTAATTACTTCAAGCTTGATTCTCAAATTAAATAAGAAAGTGTATAGATGTTGTGGGTTTTACCTGGGGTTTCAATGTCCTTCATATGTGCTTTTTGTCATGCCCTTCTGTTGTTGAAACGGAACCTTTCTTCCACTAATGCCTTCCACTCATGCCAATTAAAACGTGAAACAGGAAGTTGTGATAGCCAATGAGAACTCTTAATTGATGTGTAATATTAAATAAAATAGTTTGAGTGATGTAGTAGTAATAGATAAAATAGTAGTAGTAAATAAAATAGTCATTGATGACTTATGGTTTTGCCATTTTTTTCGATGGTCGGGCTATTCATTTCTGTGATCCATGTTCAGTTTAGACATCTGCAACCATAAGCATGTGTTCATCAGTCATTACTTTAAGTTAGTTCTCAAATTAAAAAATAACCAGAATGACTGGTGTGGGTTTTACCTTTTGTTTTAATGTTCTGCATCTGTGCTTTTTTTGATACGTTGGCCATTTGAAAGGAAGGAGAAGAAAATGTGAGACCTAATAATAAGTTTTACTTAATACATGGTATAAGATAATATACAATGAGACTTCAAAATTGTATCTTACCGTTGCCTAGCCTGTGATAACCATTAGTTTTTTTCATGAAATGAACCGCAGGAATGTTGTTGTTATAGAAAAAGAAACCTTTGTTGCAACAAGTTAAAATATAAATTCGAACAACATGTAGAGTTAGGTACAGAGTTTTCACCTTTGGTTTGAATGTCCAGTTTGTGTGATCATTCTGTGACAGCTTTGCTACTTGCAGATAATGTATTCCCTCCCGTCAAATTTTAAACACGCAGGGATTCATTTAGGTAGCAAATACATGAGAGGTATATTGGATAGAAAATTCAAAAAAAAAAAATAAGACCCATGGGCAGCAACAAAGCCATCGTGATTCATGGTTGTATACTCGAAAGGTTGTAGTTGGATAGATGTTGGTGGGTTTGAGTATTGTTTGAAGTTATTTATGTTGGTTGTATGAATGCACTAAATATAGCTGGGGTGTTTAAAATAATGAAGTTGAAAGGGGTGGGTTTGTTCGTAATAATAAATGAAGTCATTGATGTTGGCTGTGCTTTTTGTTGGGGGTTTCGAAGAGGTGTGGGTGGAATAATAATAAATACGTACTGAGTAGGTTGGTAGGTGAGTGGGTGGGGTTGGGATGATGTTTGTTGGTTCAAAATTTCAAATACAGAATATTAAATGTCAGTGGGTGGTGGGCCGACGGTTGAAATGCAGAATATTGAAGGTCGCTTGGTGGTGGTGTGTATGCAATAAATAAAGCTGGGTACATTTGGAAGGGTAGTTGTCAGACTCGAATTTACTTTTTGTGCCTCTAGACTCTACTTTATGTGTCTAGACGCTTCTTTAAACGTAGTAAAGGATATTTAGGCATAAGATTTTTTGGCTTCCTTTTTAAAAAAATTCAAACCAACTTCTTTAACAGAGACAGATTTCTATTAGATATTATCGACCCTGTACAAAAATTAAGAAATTATGTAATCAACGATACTCAAACCCACCGACCATTTGTTAAATAAATAAAAAATACGGAGTATATTTTTGCTGTGATTTGGTTTTTAAATTTATGGTATTCAGCCGCGACAATGATACTCTACAAAATTGACAGATTTAAGTTTAACAAAGATATTTATTCAGCCACTTAGAAATATTAGTCTTTAAGATATACAGATTCTCATTGTATTTTTTTTTGAAAAAAATTTCGAAATACGTCTAACCAATTCATGAGTAAAAAATTGATGACCAACTTTGAAAATGTGGTCCACAGTGTGAGTATTTTTTTGGGAAAATCTAAAATAAATGCAAATTTTATGGTCGAGGATAGGAGGGCAGATTTTTTAGGGTTTC